CAAAAACTAAACAATTGTGATGAAAATCTTGAAAAATTATTTTTTTAAATGTTGCTCTTGCATGTTTCTCAAAAACTTAGGGCCTTTAGAGAACATTTTTATAACTATTTTTTTATAACGTTTTCTGTCAAAATGTGATTTTTTGTGTCATTAATTGTATAAAAACTAAACATTTTTGATGAAAATCTTTTGAAAGACTATTTTTTAAAATGTTATGTTTTTCTGCATGTTTTTTATAAAATTAGAGCTTTTAGAAAACATTTTTAGAAATATTTTTATTTAAAATTTTCTTTCAAAATGCGAATTTGTCATGTAATTTTTGGTTAAAAACTAAACAATTTCGATGAAAATCTTTAGAAAAATTATTTTTAGAAATGTTACCTTTACCCGATTGTTTCTCATACAATTAGGGTCTTTACAGAACATTTTTAGAAATATTTTTCTTTAAAGTTTTCTGTCAAAATTTGAATTTTTTGTGCCATTTTTGTTCAAAAACTAAAGAAATTTTCACAAACGTTTTGTTAAATAATTATTTAAAATATATAGCCTTACCATTGTGGAAAAAAAACAGTCCCCAAAGTGCCTCAAAATGCAAGATTATATCCTAAAACATGCTACCAGGTGAATATTTTGTGTTTAAAAATGTCTAAAATTGTCCAAGAAACATGCAACAAAAGATACAATTTGGAAAAAAAAATTAGAAAATGTTTTTGCCAAAATGTATTAGTTTTTGACCAAAAATTAGACAAAAAGGTCTAATTTTGACCAAAATGTTCATTAAAAAATTTTCAAAAAATGTTTACTAAATGCCCTAAATTGATGAGAAACATGAAAAAAGATTTTGAAATATAATTTTACAAAATATTTTGTCAAAATGTATTCATTTTTTAATAAAACATCAAAGTTTATTAGTTTTTTTAACAAAAATGACAGAAAAAGTACACATTTTGACAAAAGATTTCATAAAATACATTTCTTAAAAGGTTTTCTAGAAGATCTTATTTGATGAAAAACATGAAGTAAATGTTTTTTATTAGATCTCTTTGTCAAAATTTTAATATTTCATGTCATTTCTGGTCAAAATCTAATACATTTTGATAAAAAGTTCTGTAAATTGTTTTTCAAAATGTTTTTTAACGTTTAGAAAAGAATTTATTTTAAAAAATACATTTTTTAGAATTTTTTTTTTGAATTTTTCGGTAAAACCCTCATTTTTGTCAGATGTTGAAAACTTTTGATGAAAATTTTAGAATTTTTTTTCAAAATTTTCTCTTTTCAGCATTTCGGATGGAATAGAGTGTTTTATTGGAAATTTGTTTTTTGATTTTTTAGAAAGAAAATATTTTTGAAATTTTTTTAGAAAAAAAACAAAATTTAAATTAAAAAATGTATTTTTTCAAAAATTTTAGAAAATAATATTTTTTTGAAAAGTTAAAAATATATATTTTTCGAAAAAAAAAGGTATTTTTTGGAATTTTTTGCCAAAACCAAATTTTTTTTAGAAAGAAATAAAATAAATAAAATAAAATAATTCTTTTTTGAAAAGCCTTTAGAAATAAAATATTTTTGAATTTTTTTTCAATTTTTTATGTTTTTTTAAATTGTATCTTTTCAGCATGTTTCTCATCAGTTTAGAGAATTTTGAATACATTTTTGGAATTTCTCAGCAAAATCTGATTTTGAAAAAAAGTTTTATGTTTTCTGCATGTTTGTCATCAAATAAGAGCAATTTGAAAAAAAATCCTTTTTCCTTCACTTCAAGTTTTGCCTCCCTTTCTGTATTTTCTTTCATCCTCCTTTTTTTCCTTCTTCCTTCCTTCCATTATTCCTGCTCTCTTTTCTATCCCTTTATTTATTCATCTCTTTCTTCTTCATAATCCATTTCTTTCTTTTTTTCTTTGGTCCAACATTGAGTCAGTCTTGTATTGAATGAATTCAGTTGAGTTCGTCACTCATTTGCTACTGTCCTCTACCCGTGACGTTGAGGCAAGGCAAACTAATAATATCCACTAGATGGCAGCCAGACACAGTTAAAATTCTTCCACTCCCCTTTTAATTATAGAAGTTGAATCTTCAGAAACATAATCTTTAAAACAAAAACAAAACAAAAAAAAAGATGAAAACCCCGCCTCTGATTCATATCAACCACGGGGCTCTCTCACACTCTAGTCCATAAAAGCTTTTAGCAGGTGCTGTGCCAAAGTGTCAGGTGGGTGTGGCTGGCTCATCAGGCTTGACATTTAAGTGCAGTAGTGTTGGGAGCAGAAGGGGGGATTGTGGGATATGAGTAGATCCACATGACAAGGCCCCCTGTGAGGATGATTGCAGTGAAGTGACAGGAAGAGAGCAAACAACAGATAGAGTAAGGAGAACATGTCAGGAGGGGACACATGAAAGGCAAAAAGAGCCACGAGACACATAACTCAACACAACAATTACAGCTTTGTCACAACTGCACTATCTTTCAGAAAAGACTAAATAAAGTCTTTGGAAAAAAAGTAAAGTTTTTTTTTCAAGTGATATATATATATATATCACCACATATAACATATATTAAACACTATTGCACATATAATTGGATATTGCAAGCGTTCAGCAGCATTAGTTTTGTCAGACGAGAAGGGACAAAATATAATCTTCAAATCCGTAAAATATCTGCAGTGGCATCTGACTTTTAGTGTTTTGAGTGGAGCACACAGACAGACTGACACAAACCCACGCAGGCTGCTTTGTGAACTGTGATTGTGATCAGCCCTCGTCAATGTGTTGATGAAAGTCGTCACGAACCTAGAACTTTCTGTTGGCAGGTGGTACTGCACCATTGTCAATCCTAAAGAGTAGTAACTTACTTCAAGCAGGTGATGTCTGTAAAAGTTTGACACTTAGACTAGATAGATAGATAGATAGATAGATAGATAGATAGATAAAATAGCTATAACAACAAATATCTAAATAGATAAATAAATAAATAAATGTTGGCTTTTATCCATATCTTCAAAAAAGCGAACCAGGACCAAAAATACAAGTCTCTATCTTTTAGTGCAGATAAAATCCTCGGACACCCTGTGGCACTGCCGTCACAGACCTGCCACTCGGACGCTCAGTGAATCAGACAGACCAATCTCTGACAGACGGCTCCTGACACAGAGATTATCACTGTCACAGTGGAAGAGCGCTGCAGCTGCAGGTGGTGGATTTACGTTGGCGTGATGGGGGAGGAAGGTCAAGGCTGCCATGGATGTATACTTTAAAGTGTCACCGATTTGGCATTTGCAAACAACAACAAGAGGAAGTTTTTTAATTTCTTTCTTTTAAATTTATTACTAAAGTTTTAGCATTTCCATTGACTTTATCATGATTACGACTAAGTCAAAAAACAAAGACCAAATCACCGGGTGGCAGAATGAACACTGGTCCGAACCGACTCTGAATTGCCCCAGTAATGGCAACATAATCGCGTCATCCAAACACAAATCCACTCACAAGCCAGAGGTGTCCAAGGAGGATGAGTGAAGCTCTGCAGAAAGTCAATTAATCTTCTCAGTGTCCCCCTCCCCACAGTCTCCCCTCTTCCGTCCGCCCTGCTTAAAAGCTTCATTTACCTCCTAGGGAGAGGAGATAGAAACACCATTAGTGAGGTGATGGCAGCAGTGGGGAAAGTGGGGAAAGCAGAATCTCACAGATGGATGAGCTGAAACAGTACAGACCGGGGTCTCCTCCAAAAGTGTGTGTGTGTGTGTGTGTGTGTGTGTGTGTGTGTGTGTGCCAGCCTCTCCTGCATGGCTGAACACATTCAGACTTTGTCTTGATTATTAAAGGTGGTGTAACTTTTAAGGCGGAAGTGTGCCTGAAATACTGGGGGAGTCAGAGGGTGGTGTGACCTGCAGAATGAGGATGGAGGAGGGAGATGGAGGGTGAGGATGGAGGAGATGAACTTAGGGAGAAAGTAACGTTTACTATGTCTGGATGCACCCACAAAAACAAAAAAAAAAAAAGTACCAAGTCATTAAACATAATAAGGTGAGCATTAGTGAGAAGAGGTCAACATCTACCAAATATCTACCAAATAGTTAACAGGCACTGACTTGGCCCGTGGGCCATCAGTTGATAATCACTGTCGTACATGAATGGATTGAACTGGTGGACTACTGCTGTACGGCCACATCATACAAACAAACCGGGAATTGAACCAGCGTCTTTGTTGCTATAGAGCAACATGACCAGAAAGACAGCACAGAGCAAGAAGATGAGGTGTGTGTGTGTGTGTGGGTGTGGGTGTGTGTGTGTTGGTGTGTCACATGGGTCCCCAGCTGGATACATGACAATCATGTGTGTTTACATGCACATGTTTGTCTGTGTGAAATGCCAGTGAGCATAGAGGCTGTGCTTCACTGAGCTCTGCTGGCTGTCACAGCACAACTGGGGTTCTTCCTGTGTGAACGAGGTCAAGACACACACACACACACACACACACACACACACGCACACACAAGCACGCACACACTTGAAAAACACAAGTAAGGAAGTGTGCTTGAATTCTCACTCTGTTAGAAATTGGCCACACACTGCACCACAACACGTTTAGTTCTCATTTGTATCCATCACATTTTTACTGTTTTTAAATTTTACATTACACCTTTTTTCTAATTTCTTTTATCCAGTTTTTGGTATTTCCTAAATGTCAAATTCAAGCGATTTCAAAAGAACGGCAGGATTTGTACGACTTGATGTTACTGTACGTTCAATCTATCCAGATACTTCACTTACAGACAAGATCTGAACAAACTGTTGGCTAACGTTACAACATTACTGCCTACATTTTATAATTTTCTAAGCTAAAAATAAATATGCTTTTTTTATAACAATCTTGATTTTCCACTTTGGCCATTTAAATATTACTTTTGTATTATTATTATTATTATTATTATTATTATTATTATTATTATTATTATTATTAATTATCTTATTAACAAACAAAACAACAAAACATTTTTCTTTTAAAATTGCAAACATTGAGGTTCATTTGTAACAAGGGTTTATATAATTATTATTTAAATTAATCATCAGATTAATCACAGAGGTAGCTGTGATTAATCAGGATTAATAATGTACAAAAATCTATATATTTATATTATTTAACAAATTGTTATCAACAATATTATTCGGTCTACAGTCCTTTCAGGTGATTTGGCAAACGTGTTTTTTTTATCTCAGTTAACCAGGGTTACCTGTTTATCAATGGTCGCTGGATGGTGCTGAGAACAGAGACTGAAGTGACCAGTGTAACAGAAGTAGCTGAGCTGATGCTGCTGCTGCTGCTGATGCTGCTGCTGCTGCTGGTCTGGGTTTCCCCTCTCTGCACCAGTACAGCTGGTCCAACCTCCTGCCTCTGACCGCTCACTTCCCACTGTGCCAGCTGGAAGAATCCCTGCAGAGAGAAGACACAGGTCAGCTGTGATTGGTGGAAAATGACAAAATGTAGACAGAACAAAATCAGACAATATGGCTGAATAAATTAAAAAATAAATTCTTATTTACACTAAATAGTTTTCTCTTTTAGTCTATGTCTACTACGACTGTCTGTAAGTGACCTAAAACTGAACTGATCCTGAACCTGTGTAGTCACGGTCCCCCTCCTACCCCCCCCACTCCAAACCCACTCCCAGGACAGGACAGAGATCCATAGAAAAGGCCGTTACACCAGTAACACCAAAGGTTCCGTGCACCCTCACCTCCTTTCTCCCCCTTTCTCCCCTCCCCCTGACTTTTTCAGAACACTGTACCCCAGCTTAAGCCTCCTATAAAGCATCCCTCCCACCCACACACACACACAAACACACGTGGACCCTCGTTCTGTGGCTGGGCCCGGCTGGCACAGCTGTTAGGAGAGCCGTCCTGTCACAGGCGGTTAGAGTGACGGCCACTCACACTTCATAATGTCTCTCTCACAGGTCAGCGGACGACAAGCTGGGTCACCTCGCTCCGGCGGGCAGCCTCGGAGGGGAGCGGCAGCAGGAGAGCCGCTCCCTCTCACCACCTCGACTCCCAACCGCCCGAGCATCTACTGCAGAGGGAAACAGAGAGGCAGAGGAGTGCAGGTGGAGCTGGGGGTCCACTGTCCAGCTGGGAGCCCGTCGGAGTCGGGCCTAAAGTGGCCAGTGACCTCTGACCCCTGCCTCCTGTGATACAGTTGCTCCTGGGAGTCGATATCAGAGTCAGTTGAAGACGCTGAGAAGCTAATTAGACACATCAGGAGTGTGGTGACATGAAAGGAAAAGAAAAATGAAAATGAAAAAGCAAGTAATACAGTACAGTACACACATGTTCTGTCCTGCTGACTGTATAAACATTCCTCCATTTGTTCCCTGATTTTTTTTAGTATTATTTTAAATTTAATATTAAGAAATAAATATGGATTATATTTTTTATTATATATTAACAAATAAAGCTGACATTTTTAGATGCAGATCAGTTAATTTAGGCTAAACAAATACAATTTAACACAAACTTTATCATTACATTTTTGTGTCTTTATGTCATTTAATTTTTTATAGTTTTATTTTTTATTGCTCTCCAGTTTCCACTTGTTTTTTTAAGCTTTTTATGAAGTATTTAGATAAGTTTTATTTCAGTTTTATTTCATTAAAAGTATGAACTGACCTTTTTAGAAAAAAGTTTGCACGACATTTTCAATAACAAACTGTGAAAAACTAAATTAAAACATTGACGTTCTGTTTGCATGACATCTGCAGAAAAAAACAACAACAACAACAACGGCTGCACATGCAGCATCACTGTTGACTACATTATCTTATGCTCTGACAAACGATGAAGTTAAGCATGAATTCTGGGGCCAGATAAGCTAATTGGACCCAGTGCCTGCCGTCGGCTTCAGCTGCGAGTGAGAGGCCTCATACCTAATTCCTGTTATTCAAACAGTCACACCCAGGGAGCGCGTAATTCACCAAAGGTGGTCACACACACACACACACACACGTCCACTGAACAATGTGTAGAAATTAATTTCGCTCTCCCAGCCACATCTGGAGCTGTGCTGCGACCCCGCCACTGTCACTCAGGCAGGGCGAGACCGGGCTTCTGCAATTTCACACGTAAAGGACCCCAATGAAACGTAAAGAGGATACGTGGTGTTGTTAAATTGCATTAAAGAGTTTAAAACTGTGGTTCTGCCCCCC